GAGCTGCCCGCCTTCCCGCGGGCCGGAGCCCCGCCGCTCGCCGCCAGCGACACGGTGCCCGCGGCGCCCGAGGGGGCTGGGGCGGCCCGGCCCGGCCCGCCGCCGCGCCCCACCTCCTTCTCGGTGCTGGACATCCTGGACCCCAACAAGTTCAACAGCAGAAGACGCCGCTGTGTGCTGCTGGGCCCCGTGGCGCCCGCGGCGTGCGCCCCGGCCCCCGCCGCCCCGGGACGCCCGCCGCGCTCAGAGGAGCCGGAGCGCCGTGCCCTCGCCGCCGCCGGAGGAGCTGGAGCCGGTACCGGAGCTGAGCCGCCGCGTGAGTAGGGCACGGCCGGTGCCGGGTCGCGGGGGTAGAGGGACGGGCCGCGTCTACGCGTTTGCGCTCCCGGGACCCCTCGGCGAACCTGACCGGCCCGGCGCCAAGGCTCGGTGGAAAGTTCGCAGCGCGCGGGGCCCGCACCAGCCCTCCCGCCGCCTGCGTCCGACCCGGACTCCAGGGCCCGCACCGCCCGGTGCCTCCCGGGATGCCTCCCCCAGGCCGGGCCCAGGGCTACGAACTGCATGGCCGGCACAGGTTTGGCCACCGCGCACCCCCGGCATTGGAGGGCAATAGGTGGCAGAGGAGGGGGAGTCGTGCGCGGCGGCTAGCCCGTGACCTCCCCACTCCCACTGCAGCCTCCGGAGACCTCCCTCCCTCCATTCTTTTATTTCCTTTTTTTTTTTTCCCGTTCTCTCTCTGTCTCTCTTTTTTTTTTTTGGACAAATCAGACTAATTGTGACAAAACGCTGGTTATCTCTGGAAAAACAATTAAATCCTTTCGAGTACAGTTAAGGGGAAATGTGCTTAGCGGCGGAAAGCGGCCGGTAATGGGGCAGCCCGCAACCCCGGCCTGGTCGATATCCCATTACGGCTGCATGCATATCTCTTTCAAGCACCTTGCAAACTCCCCCCGAACATCTAAATTATAGGGTCAAAATTCGGATAATTACTCGATTAAAACCTATTACACTTATTAGGGGCCGCTATTGATCGAGAATTGCATTCGACCGGCGCCTGATTGCTTTTGGTGCCCCCTCCGCCGGCCCTTCCTCCCTCCAACTTCCCGGGCCCTCTGCCCTGCGGGGAGAGGCGCGCAGGGCCGGCAGGGCTCGGGTGGGCCTTTTCAGGCGAGGGGCCTCCCAGCACCTGCACCTGGGCTTCCTCCCGGTTGGGCGGAGATGAAAGAGGAACAATCTCGGGAAGGCTGGAGGGGAGCCCCTCAGGTTTTCGGCCTGGCCAGGGTTCTGGGAGTTTCCACCTGGAGCCTCTGATGGGGAAGACATCCCAGTCGGAAGGCCCAGTTTCTTGGTAGTTTAGGGAGGGAGCTGGGTCAGGGCCCCTCCTTAGCCCACCCCTGGACAGAGCAGGAGCTGTCAGGGTCACCTGGGGGACTGTCTCTTCTCCTGCTAAGGGGTATAGGTGGGGGCCAGGATATCTGCCCTGCCGGCCTCCACGCAGCCCGTGGTCACCCTGGAGGAATCGGACTGAATTTGTCCTTTACTCTCCAGTTCTCCGTGCCAACCTGACCGGGGCCTGGTGCCCGACGGGGCGGCATGGTGTTGGGCGCTTGCCCTGGCTTCTCTCCTGGTTGTATGACCACCTGTGGGAGCAGGGGCTGCATAGAAACGCCCTCCCCTCCCCTCCCCGCCACCCCTCCCCTCCCCGCCACCCCTGCCGGGCCCTGACCGGGACAGATGCTTTTCTTCCAAATTTCTGAGATTCACATTGCAGCCACCGCGCGGGCCTCTGCTTGGAGGATCCGGAGCTGCTGCTCAGACTTGACCTATGGGGACTCCCATCCCGGCTGGTCTCAGCGCTGCTCTAGACCCCCACTGCCCACTGGTCCCTGGTTGGGACCAGCCTGGACCTGCTGGGGTCTCAGCCGATGGGCCAAGGGTGGCCAAGTTCCAGGGCCCCAAGTCTTGAGGTAGGGATGGATCCAGGGCAACTTTTTTGGTCCCCGGAAATCGCCTCCTCACAGCGGGCTCCAACCTTACCCCAGGACTCTGGCCCGGCCCACTCTTAAATGCCCAGTAATTGGCTGGCTCTGTTGGAGCCTTGTGGTAATTGGAGGGTAATGTACGCTGAAATAAATTAAATGGCCGTTAACTAGTTTCTACATTACGCAAAATGAGTTTAATTAAGTTTGTATCTGCCCCATGGATCGATGGGATCTTTCCGTCTGCCGTAAGCTCTGCGGCCCCGTCCTGCCCGGCTGGGGCAAAGGCGCAGGGCTCGGGAGATGGCGGGAAGGGGGGCTCTGGAGAGAAGGAATGCACAGGGGACGGAGAGAGAAAGCGCGGGAGGGTGAGAAGAAAAGGAGGGGAGAGGGCAGGGAAACGAATGCGCTAAGGGGAAAGGGAGGCAAGAAGAGAAGCAACGGAAACAGGAAAAGGGATTCGTTAAGGGGAGCAGGGCGCCGGAGGGGCGAGCGAGCGGAAGGGAGGCGCCGGGTCCTAACTGTGCTGTCCTCCCGCCCCGCCCCGTCCCCGCCCGCAGACGCCGGCGACCCCTGCAAGGCGGACGAGGCCGAGGCCAACGGCTACAGCAGCGGCGGTGGCCGCAGCCCGAGCGGGGACGAGGCGCCCGACGACGAGGACGAGGACGAGGACGAGGCGCCCGAGGCGGGGGCGGCGCGCGGCGCTGAGGCGCGGGGAGGCGGCAGCGGCCTCGGGGCCCGCGGGTCGGGCTGCCAGGGCGAGGCCGAGGCGCCCCCAGGCGCTGTCGATGAGGCCGCTGTCCCCGGCCCCCGTGGGAACTCGCCCGGAGCCCCGGGCCCGCCGGGAGCCTCGGCGGCGCCCGGGGACGCGGGGACGACCCCGCAGGGCGCGGCGACGGCGACGAAGCCCAAGCGGAAGCGCACAGGCTCCGACTCCAAGTCCGGGAAGCCGCGGCGCGCGCGCACCGCCTTCACCTACGAGCAGCTCGTGGCGCTGGAGAACAAGTTCAAGGCGACGCGCTACCTGTCGGTGTGCGAGCGCCTCAACCTGGCGCTGTCGCTGAGCCTCACCGAGACGCAGGTGAAGATCTGGTTCCAGAACCGCCGCACCAAGTGGAAGAAGCAGAACCCGGGCGCCGATACCAGCGCGCCGACAGGCGGCGGAGGGGGACCGGGGCCGGGTTCCGGGCCGGGTGCGGGGCTGCCCGGTGGCCTCAGCCCGCTCAGCCCGTCGCCGCCCATGGGTGCGCCGATCGCCATGCACGGCCCGGCCGGGTACCCGGCGCACGGCCCCGGCGGCCTGGTGTGCGCCGCGCAGCTGCCCTTCCTGTCGAGCCCGGCGGTGCTGTCGCCCTTCGTGCTGGGCTCGCAGACCTACGGCGCGCCCGCCTTCTACGCGCCGCACCTCTGAGCACGGCCTCGGATCAGGACGGGACGCCGGGCCGGGCAGCCCCACGAGGCCCTCGCGCCCCTGAGGCCGCGCCCAGGACCCGAGGGCGCCCGCCGGTCGGCCGTTTTGTAAGGCTGCGGTCGCTGACTCTGTATATAGCCGATTGCTACAGAAGAGTTTTAAATTTATAAACGACTGTCCGCGCGCGTTGGGGCCGAGCTCTGCCCTCTGGGAAGCACTTTGCCGAACTCTACTTAATCAATAAACCGCAGGAGACCGCGCCCAAGTCCCTCAGGCTCCCGCGTCGCCCGCGCCCCGTCCTCCTCGCCGCCCTTCGGTGGGGACTTCGGCGCGACCGAGGCGCTCCGGGGTGCTCGACCCGGCGCGAGCCTTGGGCCCCAGTTTCCCCGCCGCCCGGCGTCCCGTGGCCAAGCTTGCCCCATCCTGCGTCGCCCGGGTACCCCCACGCGCTTGGGAACAGGCGCGCGGCCTCGGTGCTGTGTACGCTGAGGCTCCGGTCCAGGAGTCCCGTGTCCCCGCTCCTTCCCTTCCCCTCCCCCCTCCTCCGCTCGGGGCGCTTGGGGGTGAGGGAAGCCCAGCGGGACAGTGCCCGCGCGGTGGGACCTGGGGGCAGCGCTCGCGCCGGGCGCCGACCCCGCCCCCGCCCCAATGCGCATCCGCGCGGCCTTCCCTGAGCACCAGGCCGGCCCGAGGAGGAGGGGCCTCCCGCCGCTTCCCAGTGGAGGAAAGCTGGGGCTGGCCGGGATGGAGCAACCTGCCCAACGGCGCCTGAGCCGGACCCCGAGCCCGGCCCGCGGGAGTCCGGCGCGGCCACCTCTCCTCCAATAGCTTGCAGTCCGGCTCTGGGCGCGGTCCCCACGCGGGCTTCTGGAGCCCTGGGGAGAGAGGGGAGGCGCGAGGCGGCGGCGCCTGGGCCGGGTGGCCGACTCGAGGCGAGAGCCGAGGCTCGGGGACGCGGGCGCTGCCGCGCGGTGAGGGGGTCCCCGCCGCAGCCCCGCCGGCACTCAAGGTGGGTGTCCACGGTCGCTGGACGCCAGCGCGGTGAAGCCGTGCGCCTGCCCCGCCCCCTGGCTGCTCCGCGGCCGAGCCTTGCGCCCGCAGAGGGGACATCCCTCTCCATGTGCGACCAGCGAGCTTTCAGACTCTTCCCTGCGCTGTTCAGCCCATCACCCACCACCGTGGGCAGGGCTGGGGCTGAGGCTAGGGCTGGGGAGAAGGACGACCCTGCGGCGGGTGAGTGACAGCACCACCGTCCAGGCCCAAGTCCGGGAAGCCGCGGCGCGCACGCACCACCTTCACCTACGAGAGGGCGCCCCACGTTGTCCTCTCCATCACCTGTGGGCAAAGGGTGGGGGAGGAGCAGCCCCCGACCACGGCGCAGCGGGGAGGGGCGGAGGCAGCTGGGACCGCCCTGCCCACTGCTGCAGCCCCCGCCACCTGGGCCTCTGGCCTCCCGCAGGCGGCTCCTCACCTGCCTCAGACCTGGGCCCCCCCCCCCCCCCACACCATGCACCACTCCGCCTCTGCCTTCCCCGTCAGCTTGGGGCGGGCGTTGCTGAAATTCTCGGAGTATTCTCGCAGCTGGTGGTTACAGCCGCCATCCGAATCCTCCACCCAACCTGCGGGCAGCCGGACTGTCCCCGAATCTAACCGGCCGGGGTGCAGAAGGGTGAGGACACTCCTGAGGCCTGGGCCTCCAGGGTGTAGACAGCTGACAGAGGAGCCCCAGAAGGCTCCAGAAGGTTCCAGAGGGCTCTCGGCCTCAAATCATCAGCATTACTGTGCACTTAGCCCAAACAGGATGCCAGGGGCTGCCAAGCAAGAAGCCACAGCCTCCACTTCCAGGAGCTGGGGGGAGAGGCCAGAGGAGGGCAAAACCATCAGGACCTTGCAGGAGCTGGACACCTGTCCCTCAGGGGTCCCCTGCCTCCCCTAAAGCCACCTTGCTGGGCCGGAACCTGCTGGAGCAGAGGGAGAGGTCAGGGAAGGGCAGTGCCCCCGACCCTCCACGAGGCCTGGTCCTGCAGCGTTGTCCACGGTGGGGCAGGAGGGGAGGAGGAGGGAGGGAGTTTCAGACTCCAGACTCGACAGCTCCAGTCTCCTTCCTCTCCCCATCCCGCATCCTGCCCTCACTCACCAAGGTCGCCCAGAAACAAAGCGGCCACACCGCTGGACCCTTCAACATCAGTCCCCCGTGGCTCAGGACACGGGGGCAGGGGGCCGTTGGAAGCCATGAGGCAGGGAATCAACGGCCCCCGCCCGCCCGGCTCCACCTCCGGGCTCGCAGACTCAGCCCTGAGCGGATACCACAGCGGTGATTGGCCCACGCGCTAGGCATACACTGGGCTGCTCTGAGCACCTGTGCAGGCCCTGCTGCGGGCGCAGGGACGGCACCCTGTCACTTCCCTGGGCCCCTCCAGTCTCTCTTTGGTGCGTGCCTACCATGTGCTGGGCCCTGTGTCAGCCCATCTGAGCCTCCCCACACTCGAGTGGCATCCGAGCTGAGGGTATCTGCACATGGTCACGTGGGAAGAAACAGGCCCTGGCCCCGGCCTGGGTGCCCTTGCCCCTCCTGGAGGTGCCGACAGGCCCAGCTCCCACCTCAGCACCCCCGCTCCCTCTCCTATCAGGTGCTTGGAACCCACCGCGGACCTGGGGAACTTGGGGGTGCAGGCTCCTCTGGCTGCTTCCCCAGGGACCCTCCAGCTGGCCCTACCACCCTTGCTCCCAATAGGCTATGGGGGGCCCCTGCCTGCCCAGTTCTCAGCTTGGGGTTCCTGAGCTGGAAGCAGAGGGCAGTGGTGGCCCTGCTGGTACCTGATCCCTGTCCCCCCCATGGTCCCACTTTGTTGTCAGTGCCATGAGGACTGGCACAGCCCCCAGGATCTTCATGTACTCTGGGAAGGCCCTCCTCCAGCCCCTAGGACCAGCCCTGGCCCCAGACAGCATCCACCCCCAATCCCAGAATAGTACTCAAGTAGTTTCCATCACGTGGAAGGAGCAAGCAAGACACAGCCCCTGCAGGTACGAGCCCGGACAAGCACAGGCACCCAGAGCCCTCCCTGGGGGGCTCCCCTCCCCACACTGCCCCCCAGTCTCCTGCCCAGGGACTGTTGAGCCCCACCCTCCTCCCCTCCTTGTGCCCAGCCCACAGCTGGCTGGCTGTGGTCCCTTGCTGTGTGTTAGGCTTTGGTTGCATGAAAGAGAAAAACTGAATGAACAGAAGTTGAAAGGAGATTGTTTATTTTCTCTTGTGTGAGGGAATGCTGGCCTTTGGCAGCCCTGGGCAGCTAGGACACCTTCCCAGGGTCCTTGGAGAGCCAGCTCTGTCCAGCTCTCCACTGCCTCATCCTAGCTGGGCTGGGCCCTCATCCTCATGGACCCATATAGAGGGTGAGGCTCCAGCCATCACATCCACGTTCTAGGCAGCAAACAGGAAGAGAGAAGAGGGGCACAACTGCCTCCTTTTAAGGTGATTTCCAGAAGCCCATGTAACAGCTGCTCACATCTCATTGGCCAGAACTTGGTCACATGACCACTCCTAGCCAAGGGAGTTTGGGAAATGTAGTTTTTCTAGCGGATGCGCTCTCATTCCTGGTAAAAAGGGGAGGGGTTGCAGGGGCTGCTGACAGACCTGCCACCCTTGCAGAGCACCCTAGCAGCTGCACCCGTTTCCCTGCCTGCCTGTCCCACTTAACTTTAACCAGCTTTGTTCCGTTTGGGCGTGTTGGAAACCCTCGGCCTTACCCAGTCACAGCCAAACCCTCAGGGGACACACCTGGACTGCGGCGTGCCCCTGGCCCACTGTGCTCACTTCCCCGCTCAGGATCCCCAGTGCCCACCGCCCCACCCCCACAGCAGGCTCATGCCACCTGCCCGTCCTGCCGCAGCCCTCCCCTCCCCCTTCAACGGTGGCCCTGCTGCCACCTCATTCCTGCCCCCCCCCCCACGGTCCCACTTTGGTGTCAGTGCCATGATGACTGGCACAGCCCCAGGACCTCCACCCCTCCTTGCCCGGCTGTACTGGAGTCCAAACACACTCTAGTGTCTCCACCCGACCCGGGATTGCTTCTTCCGGCTGCCTGCAGTGTGGCCTCCTTTCAGAGCCCAAGTTACCAAAAGAGCTGTCTACGCTGCCTTCCCTTCCCCCGCCCATCACACCACCCTCTTGCCCGCCCACAGCCCATCCTGCGCCCTTGCCAGGTCTGCTGCTGCTCCTTCCTGCCGCGGACGCTGCCGATTCCTTCTCAAAGCTCGGGGGGACCCATTGCGCCCACCCCTGTCCTGCAGAGGCAAGGATGAGCCCCAAGGGCCAAACCCAGCTCTGCCCCATCTCAGACGTGCCCCCAGCCGCACCTCACTCGCCTCCCAGGACCCAATGAACTCCCGCTCCGTCCCCCCTCCACACAGCAGCTCTCCTGTGGCCCCCTCTCCAGGGCCCCCAGCCCTCCCCAGGCCAGTGGTGCTGACCCATCACTCAGCCTCCTGTGCCCCTCCCCCCTTCCCACCCCTTGCTCCAGGTCAGCCAGCGTGACCTACCATGTCCCCCATCCCAGGGTGGCACCCAGGTCTCCATCCTGGGCCACTGAAGTGTCACTCAGCTGAGGGACCTTGCCCAGCCATGTGCGGTTTCCTGGAGGGTGTGATGTTTCCACAGGGAAAGGGCAAGGCTGGACAGACAACTCGGGGCACCTGGGGGCAGGCAGAGGAGTAGTAGCAGGGACGGGGTGGGGAGGAATCAAACAGGTCATTCTCAGGGACGCAGGGACTGTCACTCAAGGGGAGGGTGCAGAGCTGAGGCACGCAGGTCCACGGGGTGGCGGGGGGAAGTCCCGTCCATTCCACGGCCACATCCCCTGTAGACGGGCCACAATTCCGGGTGCCATGTCCCACCCCATACCAGACAGCCGTGTGGTGGCCCCCTTTGGAGAAGCCCCTGCTGGGCACTGACAGGTTCTCCCTCTTGCGAGGACACAGCTGATGGCAGCTGGGCGCCCATC